TCCACCCACCCCCATGACCAGGTGCCCTCTAAACCCCTCCCCCATCCATACTCCCAAGGCACACCATGTTCTGAGACCCCAAATGCCAGGATGGCCCCCAATGGCCTCCTTCCTCTGTATCCCCTGGAAACAACTCCGCCTGTTTTGTCTCCTCTTGACCTCATTCCTCAGACCCTCACAGGCTCCCAGGAGGGCACCAGTGTCCCAAACTTGGACCATGATCTGGCCCCAGGACCATCCCAGAATGACCCCACCAGGCCCTGGGCCCTACTCTGTGTTCTGAACTGTCAACCTCCTCTTTCACAGACTTCCCCCAAAGATACCTTCCTAGGGTTGCCTTGTGATGAACTCCCAGAAAACCTCATCCTAGAGTGTTCATGGACTCCCCAAAATGCACCCCCAAGATCAAGCCCTGTGCCCAGCCTACCAGTCGAGACTTGAACATTCACAGGTGGCGACATTCCTAAGGACTGTTCAGCCCCTGGGACCCTGGAGTGGATACACCAGGTGAGGGCTTCACCTGGACACCAGCCCTTGCATCCCCAAACATTTCATCCCCAATAATCTTGGACTGTCCATCCCTATCTCCATTCTACTGGAAGTTCACCTGTCAGCCTATCCTGGGACACTCCTCAGGGCGAGGCCTGGTCTGGGGAACGTTCTAGAGGCCCTTCCACCCGTCCTGTCCCTGCCAGGGCCTGGAGTGGAGACCCAGTCCCTCAGATTGGGGAGCAGACACTGAAGATGATTTGTGTTCATGCCTGGTCCTCCTCTCCCCCATCCCAAGGAATCATTCATTCATTCGGTCACTCTTTACTGAACATCTCTCACAGACTGTTTTCCCTGTGTCATTCTGTGGATCTTTTTTTTTTTTTTTTTTAAACTTGGGGCATCTCACTCTGTCACCCAGGCTGGAATGCAGTGCACAATCCCAGCTCACCACAACCTCAAACTCCCGGACTCAAGCGATGCTCCCACCTCAGCCTCCCTAGTAGCTGGCACTACAGGCACGTGCCACTATACTAGGCTTTTTTTTTTTTTTTTTTTTTGTAGAGGTGGAGTCTCGCTATGTTGCCCAGGCTAGTCTCAAACTCCTGGGGTCAAGCAATCCTCCCCCCTTGGCCTCCCAAAGGCGTGTGTCACCCTGCTCAATCTCTAATTTTTTTTTTTTTATTTTAAAGATGTGAGGTATTATTCAGAATTAGGTATACAAGTGGCCTTGATACAGGTAAAGTTTGGGCCTCCCTTTGGTCCCCACTTCACCTGATTTGAGATCAGGTACCCTCCCTGATGTAATATGCCTGTCCTCCCTCCTTCCCCTGGTAGAGTCCTGCTGCTGCCATCCCCTATTTTATTATGGTAAATGTTCAGGGTCTGCTTATGAATGAGAACATTCTTTCTTTATTTCTGTGATAGATCACTGAGTATGATAGACTCCAAACCCAACCACGTTGCTGCAAAGTCCATAATTTTTTTTCTTCTTTATGGCTGGGTAATAGTCCTTTGTGTATATGCCACATTTTTTAATCCAGTCCAGTTTCAATGAACAGCAAGGTTGTTTCCATGTTTTTGCTATTGTGAATAATGCTGCAATAAACATTCGTGTGTGGTATATTCTTTGTAGAATGATTTGAGTTCCTTCAGGTCTGTTCCCTGCAAGGGGATTACTGTGTCAAATGGAAGGTCAATTTCTAGTTCTTTTAGGAATCGCCACACTGTTTTCCATAGAGGTTTAACAACTGTTGGTTGCATTCCCACCAACAGTGTAGAAGCATTCCCTTTTCTCCACATCCTCACCAGCATCTGTTGTTTTTTTATTAATGATGGCCATTCTTACTGAAGTTAGGTGATATCACACTGTGGTTTTGATTTGCATTTCTCTGATGATTAGTGAGACTGAGCATTTTTTCATGTGTCTGTTGCCTGTTTGTCTTCTTTTGAGAAGTGTCTATTCATGTCTTTTGCCCACCTTTTAATGGGGCTGTTTTTCATTTTTATTTTTGTTTTTTCTTTTCGGCACATTTGAGTTCCTTGTAGATCCTTAGGTTAGGTCTCTGTCAGATATGAAGTTGGCAAATATTTTTTCCCATTCTGTGGGCTGTCTCCGTGCTCTCTTTTGGTTTTCTTTTGCTTTTCAGAAGTTTTCAGATTAATAAGGTCCCACTTGTCAATCTCATCTCTTATGGCATGGGCTTTTGGGGTTTGATCAGGAATTGGTTGCCTATTCCAGTTTCCATAAGGGTGTCTCCTGTGTTTTCTAAGATTCTTAACATTTGAGGTTTTACATTTAGTTCTGATCCATTTGGAGTTTATTTTTGTGTATGGTGATAGGTAGGGGTCCTGTTTCATTCTTCCGCACATTGTCAGACAGCTTTTCCAGCACCAATTACTGAATAGGTTCTCCTCTCCCCAGTGGTTGTTGTTGGAGGCTTTGTCAAAGATGAGTTGGTTGAGAAATTGAGATTTTGCTTCCAAAAATCTCTATCCTGTTCCATTGGTCTGTATGCCTGTTCTTGTACCAATACCAGGCTGTTTTGATTACTGTAGGCTTATAATAAGTCTGGAAGTGTGATACCTCCTGCTTTATTTCTTTTGCTAAGGATTGTTTTGGCTATTCATAGTTGTTTATGTTTCCATATGAATTTCTGTATTGTCATTTCCAGGTCTGAGAAGAATGATGTTGGTAATCTAATGGGTATTGTGTTGAATCTGTAGATTGCCTTTGGTAGGATGGACATCCTAACAATGTTCATTCTTCCAGTCCATGAGCATGGATTGTTTTTCCATTTGTTGGATCATCTTTGACCTCTTTGAGCAGTGTTTTATAGTTTTCATTGTAAAGATCTTTTACGTCTCTGGTTAGGAAAATGTTGAGGTATTTCATTTTTTTGTGGCTATTGTGAATGGGATATTTGGCTCTCTGCCTGTTTGTTGTTGATGTGTAAGAATGCGACTGTCTTTTGCACGTTTATTTTGTATTCTGAGACTTTGCCAACGACCCTCATCAGTGCAAAGAAGTTTTTGACAGATTCTCTTGGGTTTTCAAGGTATGGGATTATATCATCAGCAAAGAGGGATAACTTCTTCTTTTGCTGTTTGAATACGCCTGATTTCTTTCTCTTGTCTGATTGCTCTAGCTAGGACTTCCAACACTATGTTGAACAGGAGGGGTGAGAGTGGGCTGCCTTGTCTTGCTCCGGTTTTCAGGAGAAATGCTTCCAATTTCTGTCCATTTAGCAGTATGTAGGCTGTGGGTTTATCATAGATGGCTGTTACTATTTGAGGTATGTTCCTTCTATGCCTAGGTGTTCAAGGGTTTTTATCAAGAAGGGATGCTGGATTTTATCAAAAGTTTTTTCTGCGTCTGATGATATAATCATGTGGTTCTTGCTTATACATCTGTTGATGTATTTATTTACATTTGTGGTCTTGTGGATGTTGAACCAGCCCTGCATCCCGGGGATGAAGCCTACTTGGTCATGATGGATGATTTTTGAGATGTGTTGTTGGATTTGATTTGCCACAATCTTGTTGAGTATTTTTGCATCTATGTTCATCAGGGATATTGGCCGGTAGTTCTCTTTCTTAGTTGGCTCTTTACCCAGTTTGGGTATCAGTGTGATGTTAGCTTCAAAAAAATGATCTGGGGAGCATTCTGTCTTTCTCATTTGCCTGGAATACTTTCAGTCAAATTAGTATCAGCTCCTCCTTGTATGTTTTGTAGAATTCCACAGGAAATCTGTCTGATCCAGGACTTTTTTTTTTTTTTTGGTCGGTAGTTTTCTTATGACAGAGGCAATTTCCTGGGTTGCTATTGGCCTATTTAGGATCTCAGTTTCTTCTTGTTTCAACCTTGGGAGGTTGTATGATGTCAGAAAATCCTCCACTTCATTTAGGTTATTGAGTTTGTTTCCCAAACTCTAATTTTTTTTTTTTTTTTTT